AATTACCTGTAAGTCCTAGCTTGCAGTGAGATTTTGTGATGCTGATGACTTTCCTAAACATATTGGCCGGAACCACATGCACCTACAAAAAACATTACTCTTGAAAAGTCAGGCATTGAATGGAAACTTGTTGTTTGTTGATCGCATTCATGGGCTTAAAACTGGATAAACCTTCTCAATGAACCACATATAGCTTTTTTCCGTAAAGTAACTACGAGCAAACATTGACTTCAATTCAAATCAGACACATATCACATTAAAAACTCTTTGATTACCTCGTCCATGAGCAGTAACCCCCACTCTCTGTTTCTCATTTCTTCTATGATCTTCTCTGATTCCTCAGATCGTTTACCACCAAAGGCGACCATATTATAGGTTGTCACAACAACACCGGCATTTCCACGGAACCGTTCTTTACTGTCAGAAGTGAAACGACATATTTGGTCATCTCTAATGGTAGACCACAGCTTGAACTGGAAGGCCCATTGATCCACCGATACAGCGTTGGTTGCCAAACAAAGGCAACTCTTCTTTATACGAGCCGCTGCCGAAACCCCAACCAGGGATTTACCAGCACCACAAGGCAGTACTATAATCCCAGATCTGGCTCTTCCTGCAAAATCAAGCTTCTAGATCAGTCACAATGTTACGTGAGAAATTGCAAAGATCAATATCTATGATCAATAGAGCAGTGAAGAAGAAAGCAATTGTGCAAGTAGGCAGTTATACCATTTCCAAACATTTTGCTCAAACTTTTCTCCTGGTATGGCCTCGGTTGTGCATGGGGCTTCAGTTCCATGTCAAGATCAGGATTAACCTGACAGACACCATGAAGTTATTAACAATCATGCACATGCAGTGTATATCATCTACTAAGCAAAAATTGGCCTGTACTGTGGTATTTTTTTCTCACATTGTCGTTCCTGAAGTCATATTCCTCTAACATGGGGTAATTCAAGGCATCTGGCAAGCAACGCTGCTTCACATTCTCCACCTACACACGAAGAGAAAACCAACGAGTTAAGTAAGATCATTAACACAGTTTTCGTCACTCCTTTCAGGCACATAAGGGAAAATTTACCAGTGCAGGATCTATCTCAAATGAGTGAGTTTCTTTCTCTTCTGCTGCTGCTGCCAATTCTGCTTCATTCAACAGCTCCCCAGGTCCTGCCTCAAGTTCACCGCTTGTTTTGCCCACCGTGAATCCATCATTGCCGTAATATGGCTGCCAAAAAAAGTAAATCTAAGTTGGTTGCACATAAAGAGGAGAACACAATGGTATAAGACAAAAGAATCCCATACTCAATGAATCAAGGGGTTTACGAGGAAGGTTAACGAAGTCTATCTACCAATCGGAAACATACTTCCAAAGAATATCTATTCGAAACCAAGAACATGAGAAATCCGGTATATATATCTTCACAAGCAAAAGCCATTGAGAACAGCAAATCATTGTATGTATTTCCATCCAAGATAAAATCTAAACACCACGATTAAATGGAGAAGTTCAACGCACCTCAGAAGAAAATCTTGCGCCGTTTATAACACCATCTCGGAGAAGCTCTTTCAACACCTGAGATTGTTTACTTTCACAGGTGAGCAACTACAGAAGACCAGAGAAAGAGGATAAGACTGGTGAAGTTACCTCCGGGAATGGGGATTCAATAAAATATCGGTTCTTTTTCAAAACCAGCTTCACTTTCCCGTAATTGGCAGTCGACTCGTTGATGAAATGAATCATCTCCTTAGGCAACTTAGTCTTAGACAATTTATTTAAAACCGAAATGATAGTTTCTGTCTCAAGACCAACGGAAACAGCAGCATACAACGAGTGAGGAGTTAAATTATACTCGTGCATTGACTCTGGCCTGAAAGAAACACAACAATTAACCCAAAATCATATAACCACAACACATAAAAAGACGAACTCTTCACTGCATTGGACATTCAGCTTGTAATTTGGCAGCTCTATAAATAATCGAAACGAAATCAAAAGTCTCTCAAGAAAAGTATATGATGAGCACCTGCAAACGGGTTCGGCAATGGCGATGAGAAAGTCATAAGCTTGTTTGTAGAGAGGAGAAAAAGTTTCCAAGAAAATCCTTCCATCTCCACATGCCCACAAAGGTCTGTTTGCATGATCTGGCTTCAACTCCAATTTTCTAAAATCCGTATTCGTCACCGTTCCTTCACCTACAAAACCATTCCAACTTTCTCTTCATTTTGTTCCAATGTATTTAATGTAATTATGCATATATACAAGCACAATACCAACCTAAAACATAGCTAAGAAAACTACAACGTAGTCAATTTACCTTCCCGAGAATCATCATCAGCATCATCATCGTAATATGATTCTTCGTTTTGGATGTTCTTCAACTTTTGATCATCCTGAGATTTTTTTAACAGTGAATTACAGTTAAGTAAAATTGAAGATTTCACCTAAAAAATAAATTAAACTACTGTTAAGAAAACTAAAACGCGAACCTTCCCACCGTACTTCATCTTCTTGCTAGATCGTCCTCTTTCACCTGAACATCAAATCATTTCCCCGAAGATTAGCAATGGGAATATTTTTGCCGGATAATTCGAAAACACCAGAAAATATTCAGTAAGATCGAAACTATTACTCATTTTGATTGTCCTTGATCAAATCGATTCAGAGATTATCTATTGTGTTTTCTATCAATCCGTTTAAGGCCCAAATTGTGTGACGGAGGGGGAAAAAAAACCGCGTCGGAAACTACACGACGGAAGGAAATCGGAGACGGCGGCGTGGAATTCCGTTGAAAGCTACTCGGCAAAGCGAGCTCAAACGCAGGCAGAGGTCCTGATTCGAACGAAGTCGGGTCGGTTATTCGATTGCCAAAACGAAACGGTGAGTGGTTTTTGATATGAACGTAGAAGAATCAAGAGATCGCTTATAAAACTGAAAAAAATGGATCATTATGGGCTTTTAATTCAAATTGGGCCAATACAGACTTATATGTATACTACGACTTGGGCTAAAACCCACTTTAAATCACTGTAACCCATCTATGATAAGTAATATCTTATTATGAACACTAATAATTACAGTATTAATTAGTACCTGTGACTGTCACTGTATTGAGTAAATCAGTTACTATAGTAAAGTCTTAATTAGCTCTAATTAATAATTTAATGAGAGAGAGAGGAGTCTTCAATTTTTCTAAGGAAAGTCATTTTTGATAGAGCGCACGATAAAACAGCAGCGTAAAAGCGCAGAAGCAGAGGAAAACGAGAGAAACACACACACAAAAGAAAAAAAAAGGTTTCTTCTCCCGAGAAAGGTATTCGAAAAAGCAAATTCTCTCTTTAATTTTGAGAATTTTTTCAATTCCTCTCTTCCTGATTCAACCTCTGGAAGATGATCTGCTCTTGTTTCGTCTTTGATCTTGCTACTGATCGTTGCTTTAGGTTTTTGATTATTTTTTGTTTCGCTGTAACTCGCTTTTTGAGTTGATTCTGTGTGAAATTCTCTAGGTTTCGAGTGTTTAGATCCGTTTTTTCTCTTTCTGTTTATGCTAGATTCTGAAAATTCTCGTGTTAATTGATGATTTTTGATAAGTTTCTGTTTAGGGTTTTACGGAGCTTGGAGATTGTGAACTTAGTCGCTAGCTCTCTGATTTCGATTAGAATTGCGTGTAGCTTCGGGTTTTAGTATAACTTGAGCTTAAAATGATTTCGAATTCACTGTAGTTGCGTGTAGTTGATGCTAAATTGCTAAGGAGATTGAGAAATTGGCTCTCTCTCCAGATTTTGGAGATGCATATTAGGCTTAATCTCAACTCCGTTGTCTCGATTTTGATCGTTTTCATAAGAGATTTTACTCTCCTGATCATAAGACTTGTGGAGATGGCTGAAAACTGATAATTGAGAACGATAAAGCTTGTTTCAGTTTTTTTTTTTTTTTTGCATATACTCTAATGGAGACGAGAATGTAATTTGTTTCTTGTTTCATCACACTTGCTTGTAGGTTAGCATAGATGAAGAGTCTTCGTTTTTTTGGAATTGTGATTTGAAAAAACCGAAGAAATGGGAGGTTGCTGTTGTTGTTCTTCTTCTTCACGAAGAGCTGATGTAGATAATGGACCTGCCTACTATTACGTTAGTGTGAATACCTCTCCAACTTCTTTTACTTGACCCTTTCGTGTGTGTTGTTGCGAATGGCTTCTCCAATCTTGATCAAGATTCTTATGGGAAGGAGTTTTCTGAATGTTTTTGCCATTGTTGTTTGCAGTATCCGAGGGCAACAGAAGAGCGTGTGCCATTATCGTCAGCTCATAACAGGACTTCCTCTGCAATCTCATCAGGTGTTGTGGTAGTAGACACAAACTTAGAGACATCATCTCCTGACGCTTACATACCACCGCCACCGCCTATTCCTTTCGATGTGCCTATTGGGATCCCTCAGACACCAGGAGGAAACGGTGAAGAGACTGCTTGCGTTGATATAAGAGAGGTTTCAGTAGAAACAGCCGCTAATACTGAGCCTGCTCAAGAAACAGTCGACGGCATCACTCTCGGGGTTCCAACTACATGCTCGTATAAAGAAACAGACGGCAAAATCGATCTTGAATCTACTGAAGAGATAGACCCGAAGCTAACAAAAGACGTCTTTGTACCGATAGAGGAAGAGGAAGACTGTCCCATATGTCTTGAAGGTAAAGACATAAAACGTAACCTTACCTTATACGAGTGCGCGGATGGGTTGTTATTTATTCATCTCTTGTATTTGTGTTTTTGATTCAGAATACGATACCGAGAACCCGAAACTTGTAGCCAAATGTGATCACCATTTTCACCTCGCTTGCATTCTAGAATGGATGGAGAGAAGTGAAACCTGCCCCGTCTGCAACAAGGTATGGCTTTGGACTCTCTTTGGTTTGATGTCGAAAACACTAATCTACCGTAATGTGTTGATTCCAATTTGTTTTACGTTCTGCAGGAAATGGTGTTCGACTCTCCTCTTGACTAACAAATCCACAAGTACCAGAAAGGCTCTGTATCCGAACAAAAGGAGAAGAAACGTAAAGAAAAGAAAAGAAGAAATGGTAAGAAGACACGAATAGTAACGTTCTTGATCCACAAGTTGCGATTACATATCAGTGTTGATATACATATATGTTTGTACAGACTTTTCAAGTCGTCTACAAAAGAAGATTTAAGATAAGAATTTTTAGGGGTTTGTGCTTTGAGATTTCGCTACTGTGAATAAACAAAAAGTGAAAAGAAAAAGGAAAAACCAAAATGAAGTTCGTGTAGATGTTATATTTTTATTTTGTTCAGTCTTGTTTTTTTCATATAGAAGGTTCTTTGTAGGAGTGTTTAAGCTTTGGTTTCAGTTTTGGTTTGATTCAGTTTTTTTCTTGGGTTTGAGAAAAATGGTAAATCAAACTGAAATTGAGTTCATTATTATGCATAGTGTTATTTAGTTCCTCTGTTTTAATGTATTGATGTTTGATTGTTTCAACTTGTTAAATGCGTGATATATTTCCTTGATAAGTCAAATTTATGAGATTACAGTAAATGATATTGTTACATGTACATCAGTACATGTGCTGCGCTATTATAAAAAAGTTTCTCAATTAATTATACTCTTTGGAGATTCAAGTTTTGAAAATGTGATCTGACATTAGCCAACTTATTTTGTTGTACACCTTCAACGTGTCCTCTACTTTAGGTTCGAATGTGTCACCGTTTCAATTCAATCCAACAAGGACAAGAAAAGGGAGTGTCATCGTTGATAAACCCTCACTTTCTAAACATATACTCCAAAAGTTATTGGATTCCCTTTTATACGTTTACAATTAAAATTTAATAAATGAAAGTGAATCTGTTCTAAAATTAAACAAAAGAGGGACATATCGTATCAGTTTCGAAACGTCGCAAGTAAATGTACAATCTGGGCCTAGTTTCTTTGGGAAAAGGTTAATTTGAAAGGCATCAAAATTCACTGAAACAGATTTTGACAAAATTTACTGACAGAGAGAAGGGAATATAGATATACGGTCTTCGCTTCACTTGAATACTTGATCATCATCGGTGTACGCGAGAAATAAAATATACAAAAAAACATAAAATAAAAAGCTCTCTTTTCTTTTCTCTCACACATTTTCATTCATCTCCACTCGAATCCGAACGAACAATTAAAAAAAAAAAAACCCCAGAAAATAAGAAAATCATAGAAATCTAGCGAACCCAGAAAACAAAAAAGATGTCATCGCCAAGCAAACGCAGAGAAATGGATATGATGAAGCTGTAAATAACTCGTCCCTCTGTCTTGATTTTGATTTTTCTCGATGTCGGTTGGTGTTGTTGAAATTGATTTGATCTTGTTTCAGGATGATGAGCGATTATAAAGTGGAGACGATCAACGATGGCATGCAAGAGTTCTTCGTTGAATTCAATGGACCCAAAGACAGTAAGAATCTTCGATTTCGATTTTCCGTATTTTGATTCACTAAATCCCCAATTCCTTTAATCAAACACTGATGCTTAGTCGTTTGATTCTGGTTCTGATTCTGATTTCTACTCCTTATGAATGATGATAGGGTTTTGCAATTGTTGATTGATTTCTGGGATTTTGTTCTTCATATTAGCCAAAAGTAATACTCTTTTTTTTTTTTGGTGTTGTTGTTCTTATCTGATAGGCCTGTATCAAGGAGGTGTGTGGAAGATAAGAGTTGAGCTTCCAGATGCTTATCCTTACAAATCTCCATCTGTTGGTTTCATCACTAAGATTTATCACCCAAATGTTGATGAACTGTGAGTCTTTCATTTGTACAATAAACTCTCGGCCAGTGTTCATGTTTCGATATTGAGAAAATCTTTATCTTTTGGTCTCTTTGGTTATTCAGGTCAGGTTCTGTTTGTTTAGATGTGATTAACCAGACTTGGAGCCCAATGTTCGGTAAGGACCAAATCAAGAATGTGTAGTTAGTTGATTTTGTATATTTTGAATCAAATGATTCTTTGTTTGTTGCTCTGGAGATTTGGTTTAACTTTCTATGTTTTTACAGACCTTGTGAATGTGTTTGAGACATTTCTTCCTCAGCTTCTTCTGTATCCAAACCCATCAGATCCGTTGAATGGAGAAGCTGCTGCCTTGATGATGCGTGATCGTCCTGCTTATGAACAGCGAGTCAAAGGTAAACTCAACTGTTAGTTTCTTGAAGCTTTTTCTTTCGTTTATGGCTTTAGGATACTGAGAATTGTTAGTATCTTCAACTTGTTCTTAACGTGTGTGTTCTTGCGATTACCATTCTTAAGCTATATGTTCCTCTAAATAATATGTGCTTCTTTGCTCTAGATTATAGCTTTTGTTTAGTTAATGTGAGAAGTGAGAACTGTTTTTTCGTAAAACTCTCCGAGCTTTTGTAAGCATCTGCAATGTGATTATATATATAGCTTTTGATCATGAAGATAAAGTTTAGGGTCATCTGCAATGTGATTGTAAAGACTCACTTGCCACTGTCTTGATAATGGCTCGATGTTTTAAGGAAGTTTAGTGGGTCATTGTGCTTGTGTGATGTTTGGATTTGGTTCTTTTGGTTTTCAGAATACTGTGAAAAGTATGCAAAACCAGGGGAAGGTTCAGAAGATAAGTCTAGTGATGAAGAACTAAGTGAAGAGGAATATGGTTCTGACGATGATGAAGATGATGATGACGATGTTGCGATTGCGATTGCAGGCAAACCAGATCCTTGAACCAAAGTTAAAAGACTTGGGTTTTTTATGTATATGATCGATGATGAATTGTTTTATGCTTATAAGTTTACTTAAACTGTGAAATCAATTTCTATCCCGTTGTGTTTGTTTAAAATTTTACTGGACCCGAACGTTTGTGTACATTATTAGACCGAACCGAATTATTAGTCTTTCCGAATTCAAATAAAATTAAGTGGCTCTTACCGGTTTAGACCGTTTATATTAAATCGCTATGTTTTTCACTTTTTGAGTTTTTTCAGACAACAAAAATATGTCTGTCTGAATTTAGACCGTTAAGACCGTTTTTCTCTTCGAGATTTCTCCCCTGCTTTGTTGTTGATGTTAGAACTTTTGTTTGATGAAAGTGTTGTTCAAAAGAAAAAGACCGTTTTCTTGGGGATTTATTTACTTATCTTCCCTTTAAATAAACGTACATCTTCTAAATCAAAAGAAAGATCTTGGAAATGATAGAGACAGGGGCGGAGCCAATAAGGCACTTAGGTGGTCAAATGACTCCACTAATTCTTAAATTTTATTGAATTTAGGTATATAATTGTAATTTAAAATGATTATTTGGTTAGTTTTTAATGATTTTGACTCCTATTAGTTATAAGATTCCAAATTTTTTGACCTTGATATATTTTTTTTCTAGATCCGCCCCTGGATGGAGATGTCACCAACATATATGCTGCATCATATTTGTTTCTCTCTAATGTAAACAAAAACAAACCTTTATGGTGGTGGTTTGATCACTTAATATTGGTATGGTTTATTTGTTATCTGGTTAAGTGGTTTTGTCTATTAGGCTGGTTCTTTTAAACCATTGTTTAATATATAAAGGGATAGATAAGAAATATAGGCTCAGGTTCATTAATCACTTCACACAAACACTTGCGAGATTATCGGATTCAGATTCTTGTGTCTTTCTGTTATCTTCTTCTTTGATTCTTGTTATTTTCTGTGTTTACACAAAGAGAGAGAGTCGTGAGCTGAGAGAAAGAGTGATCGGAATACTTGAGTTCTTGGCGCAAGACACACTCCCAAGGAGGTTAATGATATGAACCTGATTAGATAAAACTCGAGCAACAACTATACAAGTCTTCGTGTAGGTTCTACTTGATCTAGTTGAAGAATGTAATCCAAGTCAAGGCAATTTTAAAGACCTTTTCCTTTTATGATTTTTTTTTTCTGATTAAATGTTTTCTATTGAAATGCATTAAAAATAAAGGTATACGGATATGATTGTTTAGATCATATAGATCACAGAAGTTTTTTTTTTTTTTTTTTGAGGAATTATAGATCACAGAAGTTGCTTGAAAGAAGTCGACAAAGCATACAAAAAAGTGTGGATTAAAAATGAAGGTAAGGCTCTAGAGGATAATTAAATCTCTAAGGATATTGTCTCATTTGTTGCTTGAGGAGTTTCTCTTAGACTGTATAATTCTTCGGGCTCCGTAAGGTAACGTTACTGATCCTTTTGCTACATTTCATAAATTTCCCGAAGAGTTTCTTAGGATTAAGCTTGAAACGATACGGCTGGAAGTTGATGTGTACAGTTGATTGTAGCTCCGTGAAGCATATCTCAAAATTTAGTTTTATTATTGAGTTTAGATCATTAGGGTATAAACATTTAATGGCTAACCTACATTTTATAACTGCCTTAATAAAAAAAAGTTATAGCTAGACACGCAAATATCACGGTCCTGAATTTCATCCACGATTTTGAAAGTATAGTATGGTTTCTTGTTTTGTTTTTTGACGTTCCACACACAAAGGTACAAGGTCATATGCTAATTCAAGTTCTATAACTTAGCAAGTTAAATATTTATTTAATTATAGTGCTTATCCTTTTGAAGGACGAAATATTTTGATGGCATTTCTTGATATACAAGCAACTGTTACCACTTACCATAAAGACAGTTGCATATAAATAAAACCTCCATGCATACTTCTCTCAATAAATCTTGCCAAACACTAGAGAATGATAAACAAAGAATTTACACCGTCAAGTCGGGTAATGAAGATATAATATAGTGTTCTAAATTAAATTATTTTCGTATAAACTGTTGGATCCATAATTGTAGCAGGGCCGTGAGTGATGTTGAGAGACCTAAAGCATTTCATAAATATGTGGTTATTTTTATAATTTTAATTAAAAAATAAAATATCTATTTTAGAAAATTAAGTAAAACAATTTAAAAAAGGAGACATCACTAAAGGAAGAGGAAATGGAGAATGAAACCACAACCTCAAGTAACTTTTAAGACA